GCGTCGGAGCGGGAATCCAAGGGTGTTCCGTTTCCTCACAAGGACTCAGAGAGTTGTGTTTGTTCCGCGCTCGTGACAAGACGATAAAACATCTTCCTTCAGTACTTCTTTAACCTGGACAAGGTGTCATGTAAACGAGACTTTATTTCCCAAAACACTTTCTTGGCTCGTTCGTGTTTCACCGCGATTCCCACCATCGTTTCTATTCCACAGATTAGAGGAAGTCACTGCTCAGGCAAATAAGTTCTCCAGGCTGATCGAGCAACGAGAGGAGCAGGTTAAAGGACTGAAAACGAGGCTTGAAGAGGCTGTCCATCAGAACAACAAGTTGACTCATGCTGCTGAGCTTAAGGATGACAAAATACAATCACTGGAGAAAAGGTGAGCTAGCTGGAAAACAAAAGCATTGTCCACTGGAGATCCTAGAAGGGAGCTTCTTAAAAGAAACTTATAGAAGCGTTCGTCAACAAGTTGGAATAGTTTGAAATTCTGTTCGAGTGGTTCTTAAAAATGAGTTGGCTAGTTATTAGTTGTTGCGGTTTGGAGCCCCCAAGCTGAGGTCATTTCGTAGTGTTCTTTCGCAAGACGCCTCCTTCCTGGTGTCTCAATCCTACTTTTTCTTTCTGTATCTTACTGATACCTCACACCGAAAAAGCCTCAACGCCTCCAATTGAAATGTGGTCTTTATGCGCGTTCATTTTGAAACAAGCTCCAGAGAACTTCCAAGTGTCGAAAACGTGCAAAAGCTGTCCTCACGATTTATTTTCTTGATTCGATTTTGCTATTACACTCCAGTTAACTCCCACTCACAACTCTCACGAAAACACACACCACGTCTCATTGTAAGCACGTGGAACAGCACCATATATGGGGTGATAAGACACGTGCTGCATACATGCGGTTTGGTTATGTAAAAGATAAACGAAATCACTTATATTTAAGATTAATAAATGTAACGTACAGTTCCCAACACAAGGTGTTTCGTATGGAAAGAAAATGAATTTTCAAACGCCTTTATTTTTCTTGTAATTTTGCCCTTCAGACTGGGAGCCTCTTCCAAAGAGCAGGTTCGACTAACAGAGGTAAGAATTAATCATCATTACAGCGTTATGTGACTATGAATTTATCAATGTAATGTCATGAACATATATGTTGATATCAACTACTAAGTTTGCCTTTGTTTGGAATGTAATCTAACTATGTGTATCCTTCTCAAAAAAGAGGAAAAGGGATATGTAAAGTTTCCCTTTGATTGGAATTCTGCAGATTGTCGAATCGTATGACAAAAAAGCTGAAAAGGATAAAGCTCAAAAAGGAAAGGGTGGATCCTCACAGACCATCATTTTTAAACCGGCGGACTCTACAAGGTAGGTGTTGCGTTATTAACCATAGAATCCAGAGAAGCGTTATTTTGTCATTTGAGTTAGATCCCAAGAGGTTTTTTCATGTTCCGATCTACTTTTGCTTTTGTCCAAATTATATTGTATATCGTTTGTTATTGACAGGACTAATCTTACTCTGATCAGATTGTCATGTCTCATTACTAAAGGCTTTTTATTTGCATTTTAAGGTCCGGGCAGAACACTGTAGAGTTATTAGCAATCGCAGACAAAAGGATAGCAGAACTCAACGAGGAAATAAGAATGCTAGAAAAACAGGTAGATCGCGCGAACCTTGGAAGCACTCATTTTTTCAAAGTCACAAAGAAGGACTATTATCTTGTTATCTTGTAAAAGGAACACCGTCAATCTGGCTGATTTGTGGACGCCCTGAGTGTTCTTTGTGTCGTTTTACTTCTGTGGGCTCATGTGATGTTGGCGTGTGTTTGCACTCGAAAGGGCCCGAGTCTTAAATGGATCTTGAAAACAGAATTAACTTAACAAATAGCCAGTGGTTTATGTCCTTAATGTTTCGTCGTAGCTGTTTAACCAAGAGCAATCATTTCCAGTAGCTATATTATGATTCCTCCTCCTCCCTTTCCCCTCCCCCCCCCAAAAAAGGATGTTAATCTGTTATCTTTTTGTCAGAGCGCCAAGGTGACGGCTCAAAGCGAAGGAATGTCATCGAGAAATGCTCAGCTTGAGATTGAGAACGAATCACTCAGGAATGACTTACAGAACGCTAGAGCGGATTATACAGCTTTGCAGGTGGACATGAATGAATTCAGAGATTATTATCATCAACTGGATATCGCAGCTTCAAAGATGGGACACAGATGTGAGGTGGGTAACTATTGTGCTTTGTTTTGTTAGTTCTCCCCCTCCACTAGTAAGGCTTTGAGAGCAAAGTATACAGTGTTTGTGGGGATAGGACGGGGAGGGCTTTACCTAGGAGAAGTCTATGGGTTTCCCCCCTGAGAAATAAGGACGCGGAGGGCTTTACGTAAGAGAAGTCTATGGGTTTTCCCCTGAGAAATAAGGACACGGAGGGCTTTACGTAGGAGAAGTCTATGGGTTTTCCCCTGAGAAATAAGGAAGCGGAGGGGCTTTCATAGGGAGGATGTGTAGTACTTCCCATGATATTTTCTTGAAGAGCAAGGAGTGGGGACCTGGGTACTCACAGAAGTATGCGGTATTTCCTCCTTGTTTTCCCTGATGAACCAGAAGAGGCTCGCTTAAGGGTAGTACTGTGTTTACGTCATGGAGGCTTGAATAATGGTAAGGAGGAGATGGTATAATACGTGCTCCACCACTAGAAATAAGTATCAGATTTTCGATTGTGAATTTCCTGTTGTAGTGTGGATGGATTGTTAAAATAAAGGACAACTCGTAATTATTTTATGTGTACTTTTTTTGTGGGGAACAGATGCTGGGTCAGCTGAACGCAACTCTAGAAGAGGAAAACAAAGCACTGGTGGAACAAGTGAACAAACTAGTGGAACAGGTCAATACCACATTAATATCTCATTTTTGTGTCCTTTGGTACTCTGGTGCCTCTTCTCATTTAGAGTTTACATGGGTGTGACATGCAAATCTCTCAGCCCTAACTGTAGAGATAAGAAGGCTTTAGTAAGGGGCGCTAATTCACAGAGATTTGTTTGATAATCCGTTTTGCCCCCCCCATTAGAATCAAGATCTTCTGGTTAAGTCGTTGGAAGACAAAGATCAGTTCATGGACGACGAGAGAGCTTTCTCGTAAGTACACAGTTACTGTTCAGTCTTGTGTTACAGAAGTATGTCTCCCTTTTTTAATCAATCATCTTGCACAAGATAACACTGTAGAAAATAATTTTCAAGAAAGGTCTGCTCGAATGGGATACAGTTTTGTTTTCCTGAGAGTCTCAGTGTTTATAGAGACACAATTGTCAAAATTTCATCCCGAGCGCGATACATTTTAAGTTTTTCAGGGCCTCTTGATTACTTATCAGCTAATCACAATCGTCGTTAGAGCAAGAGAAACCGCGGGTGTATGACAATCGTATTTGTAAACAAACTGAACTGAGTTGTGTCTGTTTGTGCTGCGTCCTCTCGGTTATGTTTTATTGTTAGGTGGTTCTGCGTGAAAGCTGTCTTGTTAATCGTTAATTTTGTTTTACAGAGATCGAATCTACGCTTTGCAACGTCAGAAAGAACGCCTCGAGGAACAAGTTGACTTGGCGAATAAAGCGCTGGCAGAAAGCGCGGCTAAACCTAAAAAGTAAGATAAAAACAAAGTTGTTGATATGCCGAAAAAGAAAGATTTATAATCATGATTTGTAGCATGTTTGTTGTTCTGTGTGATGTTTTCATACCACTTTAGGATTAAGATCCCATCTCTAATTATATTCTCGTAGCCTAAGGAATCTCCTTGTTAAAGGATCAGATAAGATAAGATAATTTATTTTGTCACAAAAAAAAAAAATACACAGAGGGTGGTCTCCCAATCCGCCGAGCCAGAGGCTCATGATAAAAGTGTTTGACAAAAAGCTAAAATTGTAATAGCTAAAATAGTAATAACACCAATTAAATTAGGAATAATATACATCTATCTATCTATACACTGTAAATATCAGCCCAGCCTTGGCTTCTGGCAACAACTTCATCAAAACTGATGTTTCTTCTCGTTTGTTTTTTAGAAAGCCTAACTTCCTTGCGAGAGTGATGATGAAGGCTGGATTGAAAAAGGCAAGAAACAACTTGATTAATTCGAGAAACATTTCACTCTTTTCGGTATTCTGATTTTCTTTCGACTTACCAAGGTTTATCTTGCTTTTCCTTTTTAGAAGAAAGATGACATTTCCCAGAAGAAACGTCACAGTGTTCAACTTCTCCGAATGGACAACAGTCAACACCTTGAGGAGTTTGACACAAGCACGTTAGTTGCCACGCCTGTAAGCAGACGTGATGAAACGGGCAGCGAAGACTCACGGGAAAGCTCTGCTTCCGGGGATTCGAGAGCAGTAACCAAGAGTTTGTTGAATTCCAGCTTAATTAGTGCACAGTCCGATGTTGTTCTCAGACGACAGAAAGATGGATTCGTGTCCCCCTACATCAGCACGCCTGTTTTACCTCGAGCGGAAGAACCAGACACCATACGTCTCCGTTCCGCCACCCACGACGTGTCTGCTTTCCGTGCCCGTCACGTTCGTTCCGAGGTATTCAATGACAGCGACTGGTCACCTGGGAGGCTTAGTCGTCCGCGAAGCATGGACGCTTTGGACAAGGTGCCAAGTAGCTCGTCGACTCTGACACCCAATGATGTTGACTCGGGTGATGGACTTCCGGACGGTGATGTAGCTGGATCTTCGGGTAAAGTCTTGAAGCAGCCAGGGATGAGGCATCTTAAACCGAATGCTTCTCCGTCAGGGATGAGGAAGCATCACTGGACTCGCAGTAGCCCGAACATCTCTCCAATTGCTCCTCGAAAGGAGCATCCAGTGTCGCTTGAACCATTGGCTCCCTCCCCACCTTCTAATTCCATGCAGAGAATGTCAAGTCCTCGCTCTTCTCCAATTCTCGCCCGAAAGTTGGAAGAGAAACCAACTCCTCGGACTCCGCAGCGTAGCCCAATCTTGGGGCGGAAAGAAAATAATGCGCTGTCTCCTTCCCAAAAAGACGCACGACGGGCGAGCATGCCCACCACGCATTAAACTCAAAATCTGGACACCATACCAGTTCGAGAACGAACTGTAGAACCAACCAAAAGTAAAGTTTCTGTGCAAGTGATTGCTTCCACGAACACGCCTAATGGTTCGTCTCCGTCACTTTCTAATAAGCCTGTCTCATCTCCTTTTCAAGAAGATCAGGTGAAGAGAGTTACTGTGGAAAGGAGAGAAAACAGCCCTCGGACACGAGAAGGGGCACTGGTATTTAATGGTGGAGTAACCAGTCCTTTTCAAGAAAGGGAGCGAAATTTTGGCGCCGACAAACGAGAGGAACTTACTTCGTCCACACCTCGTGGATTTCAGCGGCAAGAGAGCCTTAGAGGCGATAAGAACGTTGTGAAGGGTATGGAACCCTCCAGGAACTATAGCACATTGCCTTCTCGTGCTAAACACACGCGAGAAAGGAGCGCCAGCGGTGACCAGAATGGTGGTAAAACAACTGAATCCTCCAGGAACTATAATGCTGTTCCCATCCATGTTCAGCATGTTAGAGAAAAGAGCTCAGATGAGGACATGAGCAATGGCCCAAGGGTTATTCATGTGAATGACTTACCCAGTCGGGACACCAGAGAAAGGAGCCTTAGTGCCGACAAAAATGAAGGAGTCAGGGCATCAAAGCGGCAAGGTACCATATTTGCAGCTTCAACTGCACCACCCCGGCAAAGTGTCCCAATCACAGCGCATTATGTTACAAGTGGAACTATAACTCAGAGCGAGGCGTCACCCAGCGCGGCAGTAAGTACTGCTGGGGCTGGAACGTCAGTTTACACCGATTTGAATTCAACTCCGGTGGTTTCTCGCGGGAACCGTGCGGAAGTCAGTTCGTCATCGGTATTCGCCATTGTGCGGGATAAACGTGGGGATGAACACGTACTACCCGTGTCAAACAATACACCGCCTTCACGCGATTCGACGACGCCTTCTCGCGATCACACTACTCCGTCACGAGCCAGCGCCACGTCTGATTCTCGATTGTTGTCGAATAGCAGTACTGCGGTACTGAGAAATACGGTTAGAGCTGCTACCGATATGTCGTCACGGTATGGTGCGGCACCCTCGCCGCGCAACGTTGTCCCCTCGAACCCTGTGGAATTGAAGCCATCTGCGAACGAACAAAGAGACGAGAACAGGAATGACACCAAGGTACTCGTTTCTTCGGCAACAATTCAAGAAACCACTAAACAAAACGTTTCCAGCGTGCGAGCGCGGATTCTTGATATTGAACACACATCTCCGACCGACAGCGGCAGTAGAGCATCAACGTATGTGTCGCCTTCGTCCCAGACTCTAGGTAAAGACGACGACGACGATGATGCTAGGTCTGCTTCGTCGCATCACAGCCGAGACTGCTCACCGGCACTGAAAAAAGTACGCAAGGCCAGGAAGGCGGCAAAGGAAAGAGAAATATTTATGGACTCTCCTCCTGCTCCGCCAGACGATTCGTCGACGGCGTCAGGTCGAGGGTCAGGCGCGGAGGAGAGGGTACGGACGAGATCTGTCGGGTCAAACCAAGGAGATGGGAAGAAATCCTCGGTTTGGTTGGAGTATGGGTGTGTGTGATGGCTGATTCGTTTAAGTTGTAATGAAGTGGTTATTTATTGATGTTTATTGTGATAGCCAATTGCAAATAATTAGACTTATCGTTATCCTTATCGGATGTACATTTCCAAGCAGACTACTCGCTTAATGGTAAACGGTCCCTTACAATAGGTCGTGCAAGAGAAATATTCACTCGATCAGGTTTGAGCTAGCTCTTGCCATAGTTTTTTTGAGTACAAAAAAGGAAAAAAATTGCGTTTCAAAAGCTTTATAAAAAAGGGGTACAAAGGGAACTAGCCAGCCATAATCTGGCATGCTGTATCTATATAATAGTGGAACAATACCAAAAATGTAAGGTAGTAACCAGTCCATGTAATGACGTGAGTTTAGATTACTCATAGGCTGTCTAGTGAGCGTATCTTGTGAAGTTCCTTGATCAAAATAATGTTTATAATGTGTATATTGACCGTTATCTACTCCCCAGATCTTTTCTTACTTTTATAGAGTGGGTGATCTGGGTATTAGTTTGCCTTTATCCTTTGTACAGTTTTCAAGTAGTTGTTCATAAAGTTGCCTTTCCCTACATGAAAATGTATTTATGATTAGTTTTCTCAATGTACGTGAATAATCTAACATGATTACCAAGTGTCAAGTAGTCTATTTTTGGATGACGAACGTAAACGAGACTGTAAATCAACTGTTCGCTTTTATGAATTCCTCACCATCCAGTTACGATAAAGAAAAAGTAGATGTGGATGAACTTCTTTGAAAATGTTCATTTTGTTTTATTTATATAGGTATTTAATAGCATCGCTGTCCAAGAAATAATTTATAAAATGAACGTTTCTTCGAATGGTAAATTTCTGACCTCTTTGCTGATCACGTTTGTAATTCAACGAATAAAGGTTTGGAGTTACATCTTTTTTGTTTCACTTTCTCGTTTTCTCATTATTCCAAACAACAGCCATAATTATACTTACATGTAGACCGTAACGGGGGATGCTGTAGGGCCTTAAATAGTTACGTAATTATTTCATTTTATTTTGCCACACAAACATTACCAAACATGAAAATTCAAAATAAAGTAAAGGATCTTCCTAGTCACTGTATTTCTTAGAATAAGTGCCCACCCCCAGACCATAATTTCCTTAGATCCCTACAAAGTAGGTTACAAGGGAAACACTTTCTATTGCCAATTTATTTATAGACTGTTAAGCTTCATTTATAGTGGAATCAGTACAGGAGAATAATTTCTTTTATTTTCCAGTTATTTCTATTTCTCTATGCTTGCAGAGATCCTTTATGAGTATTAACTTAGCGCAGCAATAGGACAAAAATCAAGATTGCAAGCACCCCCCTTAATTAAGCTCCCCTTCCCTCCATTAAGTGTGTGACGTGTGAGATCAATGTATGTTTTTTCTAATTTGATGCACGAAGACACTAAATGATAAGAACTTCCCCTTCACCCCTCCCCCCCCCAAAACAAAACAAAACAAAACAAAAACAAACACCAAAACGAAACCTGTTTGGTTTTGAAGAAATAAAAAACATACAACGATGTTCGTCAGCATGGAATTAACAAACACTCAAGGGAAATTGTTCCTTGAGCATGAATCTTCAGCTGCCTTCAATGCAGTCAAGAATCTGGTGACGCATTTTGTTCTGAAATAAAAAAGATAATGAATCATAGGTCAGTTCAAGAGAGCAGTGAAGCCACTTTTTCTTACTTTTCCTACTCCTCTGCCATGAGAGAAGTCCCCATCCAACCCTTACCAAATGATTAACTCAAAGCAGGAATTTTCTTAAAAATGAGTTGCATGATGCTGGCAATTTTTTTAAACTAGTCATTACTGTGAAAAATTAATTAAGAAAAATAACAAATAGCAAAACACCACTTGTTTTGTCTGCATCCATCCAATACAGAGGAAAGTTCTTACTTGTTCAGTGTTGCTTACAAAGAACTGCCCAACTTCAAAGACTTCTCTTTTACCAATACCATGCCGTAAGTATCGTGAGTGAATTGGACAGTTGTTGAGGACATATAAGGCAGCAGAAAGACCCAATGCAGCTGTCCACATAGAGTTGATAACCATGACATGACTAAACACTGAACTGCAATCACCAATTGGTGATGCCTCTTGTCTGTTGGTGGTGATTTTTACTGACACTATTCCATTTTGAAAGCTACAAACTAAGCAAATTAGAAAATTTTATTCAAATTACTGGTGATCTTTTACTGACACTATTCCATTTCAAAGCTACAAATTAAAAGAAAAAAATACATTAAAGTTTAAATACAAACAGGGAGGGCAGCAGAGGCAGGACAAAATAACTGAAACTTAAGTTGGGTTGAAAACCAGTTGTCAGTTCTTTGATGTGGGTCTGGAGATACACTAAATGAGTTGAAACTCAATTCTCTGCTCGAAATGGGTAGGGGGAGGGGAGCAGATAACTGCCTCCTGGTTAGGTCAAGTTGGTAGAGCGCAGGACTGTTGTGCGGGAGGTCGAGGGTTCAAGTCCCGGCTGGACCAACACTCAGGGTCTTAAAATAACTGAGGAGAATGTGCTACCTTTCTATAATATCAAGAAATGGATAGATATTCTAGTCTTCTTGGATAAGGACCTATAAACCGTAGGCCCTGTCTCCTGCAGGGCTAGAGGTAGGAGACGTTAATTTCCCACGCACGAGATCACTGTGTGGTGGATGTCCTCCCCTGGGATGGGATCGGTGGGTATATCTGCTGAAGATGGGCTGTCTTGCCCTTTGCAGATTAGACATATAGATTTTTAGATTTAGATTGGTGGTCTTTAGAGCCCTTGCAGCCCTCCAAGCAATCACTAGTGACCCCAACTCATAGACTGGCCATTAGGACTCAAACCCAGATTTCAGAACCCAAACTTCTGGGATATCCTACAGGACTGGTATTTTTCTTTTTGGTAAGAATTCTCCTCTTACAGTAGGTCTCCATTTCTTCAAAATTTAATCTTAATCTAATTCTTAAAATCAATCTTACAATAGGTCTCCATTTCATAGTACCTTTCATAATTATGCCAAGCACCACTGAAAGTTACACTTCAAGAGTTTACAACAAACTGAACTTGAAATTTGTGAAATGGGAATATTCTTACTACCAAACCAACTAGTCAAGGCTAAAACGAGGTATTGTGAAGAATGAGCAATTACACTAGAGTTTTTATTTTGTTTCAATCTTTAATCAAACATTAACATACCTTCCTCCAATAATTTGTCCACCAAGCCAACTCGAAAGGTCCTTTTAGATCCACTATCATTGTTGCTAGCCTGTGTTGTCATTTGTAAAGCTATCACTGTATCCAGTTTGTGATTTACATTCCCAGTAGAAAGTCTGTCCTTCACATCCTTACTGTCTTCCATTGTAACAATGTGCACATCTTTTTCAGAGATTCCCTGGGAGGCATTAGCTGTCACACAGTCATGAATTACTTGTGAATTGTGTTCTGTGATAATGGTTATCTTTTTCTTCACTGCCTGAAGTGCTTTGACCAAAGTGATAACTCCTTGGAGACCATCTGCAGTAGTCAGTTCAGAGGAAGGAATGATTTCCTCATGAAGAATGCCTATAACAACAGATGGAGCATGGGACAATCTTCCCACAATCTTCAGGAAATCAGAATCATAGACATCTCCTTCAAAACCACTCTGACCTCCCAATAATTTATTCAGCTTTTCCACTTTTTTAAATGCAGTTTCAGAGCAAACAGAAGCCAGAAACGGTTGCTCTGCCAAAGTAATAAGCTTGGGTTGTTCATCTCCATGTTCTGGTTTATTGACTCTAAAGTATTCTTCCAAAGTGGTGTCACATATGAACATTGAGCCAGGCTGATGACTAAAAGACAGTGGTAGTTCTGTAGAAATGGAGAGACATTAAAAAGGTCAAAATTACCCGGCCCTCAGGTTTCGAAGAACAAGAAAAAAGATTATTTTGTCCAGTACTGTCAATAGCATGGTGAATAAACTCACACTGTATCTAAATGGCAATCGATCAATAGCAAGAACTAAAAGCTTATTTTTCAGATTCCAAATTACTACTGGTACATGTCTGGTAAATAAAAATGAATTTTGCAGCAGAATCTTCTTTGAATATGGAAAGTTTTAATCCTGTTTCACCAAACTAGAAATTCTGCAAAAAACTGAATGATCTTTACTTGCAAGTAAAATCACATAAAATTGGATTAAAAAATGGTAGTAGTTCACCAAACATGCACTTACTGAAACAAAATATCTGTAAGACTGAAATTGTCAGTAAGGGAAATTATCATTCTTTATATCCATTCAACCCATTAACTCAAAATTAACTGGATGTGATTTAGAACTCTTCCCTTTCGCTGCTATATATTCCCACGAATAATTGAGTTAAGAGAATTTGGTAAAATTCATATCTTTAAGTTTGTAATTAATCACTTCAGTATTTTCCTTGCTAATTAATATATCACTTGAAGTGGAAAGGACAGAAGAATCATGTTAATAATTTGTAGTAGTTTCAGTGTCAAAATTAAAAGAAAACCTTCTAGCCTGACATCACTTACTTGCTGATCTTACCGACACTGAAGATGTTACGCCACAAGCCCAAAACACAGGTATCAGATCACCCACATCAGAAGAATCTCCAAAGTTTACTACATTAACATCATCTATACCTATCACAGATGGATCACCAATATGTACTGGGGCTCCATGCACTGCATCATAGACAGCTGTGACAATCACTGCTTTTTCAACCAATTCTCTGGGAATTGGTCGCATTGAAACAACCATGGGGCAGTGAAATGGCCCAACAGACAAACACGGAATGTTAGTTGTGAACATTGACACATTGCGCTTTTGGACCACATGCTGCAATTCAATGCCAGCTTTCATCAGTGCGTCTTCAAAGGAAAAGCTGCATCCCAGATAAAAGGAAACATAGTCGTCCAGTGGATAACTGGTTAGTTCCCTAATTTTCTTGGTGACATTTCCTTTCTCAGACACCCAGTACATTGGAAGATCAGTTCTAAAAGTTTTGGATAAGAAGAATTAGAATATGGAGACATGCGGAATGTGATTTACGTGAGTTTTTATCAAGGGTTAGGTATAGGGTTCTTGAATAGACACTTCTTTTTGCAGGAGAGCTTTTTGCAGCCAAAGGATGTTCCATGACTCTGTGAAGAATGAAAGGTGAAGTAGCATACTCAAAGGCTATCCAGTTGCTTCCAATTGAAAGTTGATGTCAGTACCAGTTTATAAATTTGATTAGCTTGAGTTTAGCTTTGAGTATCTTTGCCAGAACTAGATATTCTTAAATCTTAGAATCAGAAAAGCAGATGTTGTCTGCATTGCATTTTCAGACCTACTAAACCATTAGAACACAGGGCAATTGTATGATAAAGTGGTCTTGTTTCTCTAGTTTTTCTGAACCACCAGTTCATTTTTTTGAACTGGGGGCATGCATGTATCTGCAACAGTAAATAAGGCAAATATGGTACTAGGTATCATAAAGCGGTCCATCGGAATTAATAGTCAGTACGTGTTTTCGCAGCTCTATAAGTCACTGGTCAGGCCCATACTGGAGTATATGCGGCTCCTGTTTGGAATCCGTATTCGATTAAGGATATTATGGCTCTAGAAAAGGTTCAGTGAAGTGCTTCGCAACTAGCTTTAAGGCAGAAATGTGGTGAAATGAGTTACAAACACCATTGTAACTAACTAAAATGGCAAACACTAGAAAAGTGGAAAGAATTTCTATCTCTGGTTCAATGTTATAAGATAGTTTTTGGTATTGATCACCTCTCTTTCCCAGATTTCTTCAGGTTTGCCAATAAGCATACAAGAGCTAACCACGACTATAAACTTTACCTGAAAAGAGCGGTTTGTAATTGTTACAAATATTATTTCTTCATTCCCATAGTGGGGAAATGGAATAGCTTGCCAGGATACATTGTACATGCCGAATCATCGTTTGTTTTTAAGAGTAGACTTAAATTTTATTTGAATATTTATTGAATATTTATTGAATCTGTAGCCATAAATAAATTTTATCTTTTGTATGTTTTTAGTTAGGGAAATTGTTTTTATACAGGGCTAACCTCACGATTTTCCCTTTTCAGGATGTATTTTTTTTGTATTCGCGTTAATTGTAACTTCCTGAATAATTGTTATGTTATATGTTAATGTTTGACCCTTTCACCATAACGATCCCCATTGCAACTCTCCTGGCTGTCTGCCAAACATTTCTTCTGAAGTCAGTAGTGAGAATTTGGTACCTGCATCTTAACCTTTTTTACTCGCAGGAGTGACCAAAAAACAATTTCTACTTACGGTATCGATCAATACAAATTAAAGTGATAACTTAGGAATAAAAATATATTAGCATTTGATCCAACACCAAATTCTCAGAAAAAAACTTGTAGAAGATGTATGGCAAGCGGTAAGGAGAATTTTCATTGAGATACTGGGAATGAGAGTTGTCTTCAGGAAAAAATATGTCTTGGTCACTCCTGTAGGAGTAGTTTTTTCAAGGACAGCTCGTTCCTATTACACGAATGACCCCCAAAACGTAAACAAATACGTAAAATATTAACAAGGGCACGAAGCTTTTTTCATACCTTACATCAGAATTCTGGGCGAGATACCCAGCAGATAGTTCACCAGGTCTGCTTTTGTACATCAATGGACATGGAGCTTTGTTTAAATTGCAGAACCGTTCAAATTCATCGGCCAATGCAGCTGGAAGAATAGCCAAATTTGTCTGAACATGTCGCATACAAAATCCTGATGTTGATTTTCCCTCGTAATATGGATTTGTGCGAAATTGATGCCTAGCTTTCGATGCTGGCCAAGAAGTTACATTCTCGTTTTCTTCCAAAGCAGGCATTGCTCCTTTAAATTTCTTTTGCACAAAGAAGAAGTAAATTTAAAGGACACGTAGTCGCTTCGTTACTTGATAAAGATTACGTGACTAAAAGAGCTATGTCACATGCTAGACATGTGAGAGACGTTCCCAGGCTTCACGTGACGACAAGGCAACTTCGCTGTTTTGTTTTACACAGTCCTGAGCACTGCACATAGAAAAGAAAATCAAGGCTCTTTTCGTAAGGACAAGATTTCCACCTAAATTGTTTTACAGATCTTTGATGCTTTGCAAAGTTAAGAACATGGCGAGTAGCGTTATGGCGGCAAGAGCTCTGAGTGCAGCCGCATCATTTCAAGGTCGGATACATGCACATGTGATCGTGGTTCCATCGACTAACGCAGATCAATACGAGAAATTTTGTAAGTTAAACAAGTCTTGTAGTCCTTTACTTCAGCGCAGTACACCTGGAGATACAGCAGTGAAGCCTCTAATACGTGATTCGGACATCAGGTATGAACAAATTGCTTTTCTAATGCGAAAGTAATCATTCCCGACAAGGCTTCTGGAGGCCATGCGCCCGGATATTCGAAGTCAAAGCGAATGTAAGTTGGAAAATTGTCAGAAATTAGTTTCTAGGTCTCAAGATCTATATATGTACACTGGGTGAAGGTCAAATAAAATAATTCACCCGAATTATGATTATAAATGACCACAGTAATTGCACGTGTTGTAAGCTTTTCTGTGCTTTCGCCCCATGCCCTCGCGCGGCTGGCTCCTCGCTTTGGGGGCTACCGTTGAAATCGTTTTTTAAACTCATGATTTTGTGCGTGTTTTCGCTCTTCATCAGCTTTACGTGTAGCCGTTTTTTTAAGCTTGCATGATTTTGTGCGTGTTTTCACTCATAATCAGCTTACGTGTAGCCGCACTCTCCTCTCCCTTCCCTTTCTCCTCGGGGGGGGGAGGAAAATGGGAGGTTGGCATATAAAGAATATTCTGAGGTATTCAAAGATGCCAAATACAGTTCACTTTATTTGAGAATCTGGGATGTGGAATGATTTCTTTGCCCCTCTAATTGCTGTAGCTCGCCTTGATTTGATTTTAAAATTATTTCCAGAACACTGCTACCTCTCTACCATGTCCTGAAAAAGGGCCATGAAGTCGACCGTGTTACAAATTTGACGCAATTTCCTTGGAACGATATGGTAGCGTTTTACATTGCCTCTATAAGCTATCACATCGAGAGCGAACTCAAGACAGTGGGAATTCTTGATGAAAGTGAAGTAAATATGAGAACAATACCTCACTATAAGACAAATATGAAGTGTAAAGACGCCGGACCCTTCTGTTGTCCCCTGGTGGTTTGTATGTTTCCCATACCTAGACGACTTTTGGAAAGGACTGTAGCTGTTACATCCCGTTTGGAGAGTGTAATTGGAACACCGGTACATATCGGGGATCCTTACGTGATTGGGATAAAAGACATTACCAAACCACACTTTGGCAATGCATTTGAAGTGGATATTGATACTGTCGTTCCATTTTTCTGGCCTTCCAGCTTAACGGCTCATGCGGCTGTAGAATCCGCCGGTAAGTAGTTAGTATGAGCTGGTTAGTAAATCTACTTAATTTCATTTAATTTCATCCTCAAGATAGGAGCTCAAGATGTGAAAAGTCGCGAGCTCGTCTGTTCAGTGCATGTTTTAGCTTAGCCTTGATTGCGTAAATTAAAACTAATTGATAAATAAATGAATAAAACGATAAATAGTTACATCAATGAATGACATGAGTGATAGCAGTGGTACATCCACTGGATGGTCCACGGAGTTTTGTTTTTGTCGCGGACGAAACATCGGAGAACACGATTAAAAAAAAAAACTCCTCAATTCGGGCACGTTAGTCAACAACGAGTTAACCACACATGACACCGGGTTTGAATTCGCATTTCCCCGCCTCCCTCCTCCCCCCATCGTCCACTCTTACTCGAAATCAGACATGAATGGTCGAATGAACGATAGTAAGCTTGAAGCTTTAACTCACCTTACTAAAACGCCTGCACTGCAGGGTACGCGACAGTGGAGGACTATCAAAATGTGGAAATGTCGATAAATGTGTCAGTTTTTCGGTGAGTTGATATTGTTATGGATATTGTCACAGTTCAAAGTTTGAGTTATTCACAGACGTAATGACCTCAGCTGAAACGATGCAATTTATACAGGTTTCTCCTTACTCGTGGTTTTACCGTATTTTTTTTTCGGGTGGAATAGGTGTTATATGTTTCGTAAACTACGTAGCGTATCTTACTATCATCCTGTATCGAACATATTAATCGCAATATTACGACTTTTGGTAATTGACAACTTATAGCATAGATGTGACTACCCCGAAATTTGTATCGCTTCAAGATGTTTCCGAATTGGCGTTGTCATTGTCCGAGGTGAAAATTTGGCCTTCTTCTGTAATGGATGAAGTGTTTTCGTTGGAGAGTAGGTTCGTCAGAAAATAGATTCGCTCTTTCAGCGTGTCCTCTTCAGTTTTAAATCCATAGTTTGATGCAATCTGCAAGGCGTTTTCGGCTGTTTCTTTGGCCAATTGATAGAAACCTTGACGATAATACTGATCCGAACGATTCTTACAAACATGCATGCGTGGTCCAATTGCGAGGGTGTCACCCACTTCGTACAAGACATGGTCCAGGTGGCCTTGTGCATCTTTGATATCTTCCGTAGTGACATGTATGTTGTTTATCTCATTTCGGGCGGCAGTCGATATGCAGTCGAGGCGGACAGCTGCTATCCCTAAGCTGCAGAATGTCAGTTTCTTTTGCCTGACTCTCAAACGGGAATCCCTCTGAGAATAAGCAATTGCGAGCTCAAAGTCACGTATTGCATTTTGTCGCGCATGTTTTCGTACCTGCGCATGTCCTTCGTCGACCGGGATCGTGCTCGTTACAATCGTCCAAAGTAATCCACGGTTGTAATGTAACTCAGCCATGTCCTCTGGGGAATCGTGGTGTTTCAAGAAGTCTTCGCTGCGTTCCAAATATTCAAAGAGAG